ATATTTGTTTGATCTGTGCCACAGCTGCAGCTTGGATTATCTCAAAGACTCCAACAGTGGTGGTTGTCTGCAGATAGGCCTTGCCCAGTCCAGAATCAGATAAGAAGAATCCAGTGGTGATGTGGCAGGTCATAGGCAAGCAGTAGAGTCTGTGATGAGGAACTGATTGGTTCCAAACAATACTCCACAGAGACTCCACTGTCATGTTCATGGCAGTGAAGTGGCCAGTTTTGGTTGGATATATTCCTGGAGTTTTCATTTTATGATAATTTTTAAAGATTAATCTTTAATTCCTGAAAACTCCAGGGCAACCCAGAGGAAGGGGGGGTTGGCATCCCTCCACGGCAGCCTCGATCACAGTGTCATGACGAAAGTTAAGCAAGGCCAAGCTTGGGTTAGCAGGTACCTTCCTAAGCTGCTTGCCAATATTAATCTGATGTAAGGATGAGCGATGTGGCTTAGATCTATAAATCATGGAAGATGAGTTGGTTGGAGAGTTTCAGAAATGATGCACATGGCTGAATTGAGTTGTATGTCAACAAGTTTGATGTATTAAAGATATATGAGGTTTGTTTGGTTTTTTTATTTCTTTGGTTCTGATACAATATGAATCTCAGTAGAAACAATATGTTGTCAGATCCCTTCCCATCAAGTAGAATGGAGAAGTCAATCCTGCGGTGTTAATGTTCTATAGCATGTAGGGAATATGTTGTAAAAGTAATGAGTAGAAGCCATCTTTTGGGCATGTTATAAAGGTACCTGATGTTGGATGGGTTTTTACAGCTCTGCCCCGTCATGACCAATGCAGGCTAACCAATGGAGGGAAGTGAGCAACTGTCCCAGGGCTCAGCAATTCAAAGGGGCCTATGGCTTCCAGCTATCACCATTATTGTGATATCAGGAATGGCCAGGTCCCTGGCCCCTTTAAATCACTTCCAGAACCCCACTTGTCACATTGCTGACCGTTGAGCAGTGCGTTCCAGATGGCACTGGTGCGGGGAGGAATGACACAATCTGGGTGGCACTGAGGGCTGGATGCCCCAGTCCTGCCCTGTCCGATTCCCTGACACTTCCGGAACCAAGGAGCTGGGCTCCCCATCCCTTGGCCAGGGGCCCAGTGAGACAGTTGACTCTCCTGTGGCCAGGAAAAGGTGTGTGACTTGCTAAGATCATTGTCATTTGCAGGTGAGGAGCAGCCAAGATCTGGCTGGTTCCTGGGGGATGAGGGTGCTGGATAGCACAAAGATGTCCCTGTCATGGAGTCACAAGCCATATCCCACCAACTTTCCTTGTGCCAACCCTGTATGCAGCTGTAACCCCCAGGGAGATTACTTAGATTCCCAGGGCCTTGTCTGCTGGCAGCTCAGGGAGAGGCACTCTGAGTTTGCCTTGGCTCCCCCTCCCTACCAGGGCCAGAGTCTGCCCAGCAACCCATAGGAAGTGAGATGCTCCTCCCAGGAGGGGGAAGGAGAGGCCATTGTTGAGGGGAGTCTGGAGCCAGCCAGGGCAAGGGGAGGGCTGGCTGTGTGAGAGCTAGTAAGCCCCAGGCCTGCATGCAGGGTTCCCCCTGAGAACT